ACCGTGCTCCCGCTGCAGCGGTGGCGTCATTTCTCCCAATGCCATGCCACCTCCCAAATCTAGAAAATGACCTCCCGAACAAAAACATCGGAAGTGATTCCACATTCGGTGACGATTCGTTGTTTTTTTTGGCCGCAGGGACGTCGCCACGCCATGCTATGTCATGCCACGCGTTGATCTTCAACCCCAGTGCTATGCCATGCAATGCTATGCCATACTGCGACATCCGACTGTGCGAAGAGTGAGGAGATCTGCGCCATGGTAGGGGATGGGACGGAGGGGTAGGACGTCAGATGCGACGCGAGCGCGCCCAGCTCGCCCCCCCCTCCTCCCCCCCCCGCCCTCCGTGTCCCTCCGCTCCACGGCCGAAGGGGCTCGAGGCCCGCTCGCCCCCCGCACCCCCGGCGCGCCGCCCGACGGCCCCGAGGGCCCTCCTCCCCCCAGGTGGCCCCGCCCTGCCACGGGGGCCACTCCCCCTCGTCCCCTTGTCGCCCCACCCCCCTGGGGCTCATTTCGATTCCTCCGATTCGCTTCGGTTCGAGCTCGATGGATTCCGACGGTGGCCGAGGCTCGATTTGAAGCATGTTGCATATGTGCCAGGGGAGATGGAGAGATGAGGCCATTTTGTAGTCGGCCTGCCATGTGACAATGGCGGGGTGCCGCACATTTGCACACGGTGCGCGGCCTATGTCGAGCCTGGCTATCTCAAGCAATCAAACCTCAGAGGCAGATGTGAGCAGCAGATGACTGTTCACAACAGATGTCTTTGGCGCCGTGTGCTCCGCGGGCTCTACCCTAGCTACACTTCCAGTCAGACGGTGGACCCCGACGGTGTTCAAGACCTCACTGTGTGAGGCGGATTTTAATCACGATTTACATCGCTACAGTGCCTCGCTGGTGTCAGGGCCGCTGACGCGAGCGAGCTGGCCCATTATTCTGGCCAGGTGGACGTGGGCGGGGCTATGCTGTTCCAGCTTGTGGTCATAGTCGTGTTGATTTCAAAAAAATCTGGACGACCACGTCGCGACCAAAATTCGGCCTCTTGTCACGATTTCCGCAAACAAGCGTCCTCTCGACAGACTCGAAACCCTGGCCTAGACCCCGGCGCGTCGTCTCGTTGTTGTCGGAATTCGACCCTCTTTGGTCGCGACCGAAATCCACTACCGACAAATTTCTGGTCGCGGATGATCTGGGCAGCCCCGTATTTCCACCCCCCCTTTTCTTTCAGCACCCCTCCTCCGCCCTCCTCTTTCACCCTCCACTTCCGCCCTCCTTCAAACCCTCCGTCGCCTCCCGCCCTGCCCTGCACCTTTCCTTTGACCTTCCAGAGAACTACAAAATTGCCCTCCAGACCTACAGACCTATCTGCACTGTTAAAACTCGACTGGGATTTTCACGTCGAAGTCCCGGGGCCAATTTTGTTGGCCTCCTGGAAAGTCAGGGTGGCCCTCCCCCGCGTGGC